TCCAGACTGGGCTGGTGGCTGGTGATGCTCCCCGTGCCCTGGCCCTCCTGCGCGCCTCCAGGTATAGCTTCCTGCTCCCCCCACCAAGGTGTCTGTCCTGGGAGGGCCCATGCCCCCCACCTCTGACCTTTGCCCCGTACCTCCAGGGAGGTGTGGCCCGAAGGCAATGTGTTTGGGGCCCCTGACGCCAGCCTGGATGACGAGATCCAGCTGCTGCAGCAGATCCTCTCTGCTCCACTGCCCCGTGAGTCCCCCTGGCTGTGCCTGCAGGTGGGGGGGTTGTCCATCGCCTCTGCCCTTCCAGGCTTAGCCCCCACATGCTCAGGCTGTGCCCAGGTAGGGAGTCCCATGCACACACATGTGGGCTGACCCCCTCCCTCTGCAGGGCCAGCAGAGGCAGAAGCGGAGGAGCCAGAGGGAGGGGAGGACGAGGAGGAGGATGAGGACGAGGAGCTGGAGGCCGTCCGCGTGTCAGAGAAGGAGTTCAGCTTTCAGGACTACTTCAAGCGGTGAGTGGTGGGGGCAGGTGGGCTGTGGTATCCCATGATGCCCTACTCACCCAGACCAGGGCACCAGGGGGAGCAGGGTGCTGCGGGTTGGGAGGGAAGGAGCACTGGGGGCCAGGAGGGCAGAGCTATCCCGTGATGCCTTACTCATGGTGGCGGGTGTGGGGTGGTGGGGCCATCCCACAATACTTTGTTCAGGGGGGTGTCAGGGTAGGAGTCGAGCACAGAGCTATCCCAGGATGCTTTGCTCATTTATGCCAGGGCTGTCCTAGGATGCCTTGCTCACGGCTAGGTGGTGCTTGAGGGACCAGGTGTCCCAGGATGTTTCTTGCTCATGGTGGCGGGACTGGAGGTGTAGGGCTGTCCCAGGATGCCTGGCTCATGGCATTGGGGTGGGTGTGGCAGGTTTGCGTGCGTGCCGGTGCTGCGCGCCTACGGGCTGCTGCTGCGGGACTACGAGCACAACGGGCCGTGCACCAACCACTACGTGGCGCGGATGCTGCAGCGCCTGGCGCGAGGCCTGTGCATGCCCGGCCTGCTCTGCCAGCTCTCGCTCTTCAGCACCTTCCGCCGTCTGCTGCACGACCCAGCCGCCCCCCAGGTCAGCGCCCCCAACGTTGCCTGACCCCAAACCCCATGTCAGTGCCTCCTGACCCCTCCCCTCTGCTGCCTCCCAGGTCATTTCCCCCCTCCTACCCCTCAGGTCCCTGATCCTGCCTGACTCCTGACCCTTCCCTGATCCCACCTGATTTCCAAACCCTCCCCAGGTCAGTGCCTCCTGTCACCTCCTGCCATCCTGCAGGTCAGTGACCTCTGACCCCTCCCCATCCCCACCACTTCCCAGGTCAGTACATCTGACACTTCACTGGTTTCCCAGGGCAGTCCTCCCTGACCCCTCCAACCCCTCCCAGCACCCCCAGGTCAGACCCAGCTTGTGCCTCCAACCCTGTCTTGTGGAGGGGGTGGTGGCTGGGTGTGGTGACCTCTGATCCCCCAGGAGCTAGTGACCCTGGCCAAGTACGTGGTGGGGAAGTTCTTTGCGCTGGCAGCTGCCAACCAGAAGGCCTTCGTGGAGCTGCTGTTCTGGAAGGGCGTGGGCGCCGTGCGGGAGATGACTGAGGGCTACGGCACCCACGAGCCCCAGGGGTGAGACCCAGGGGCGAGCTTTGCTTGGCATGGGGTGGCCTGGGGGCGGCCCTGGTGCAGGCCAATGCCCAAACCCAGAATGCTTTGCTCTGCCCGTGCCCAGGGGCCTGGCTGGCGGGCAGGGGGCTGGAGGGTCCTGACCGGCATTTCCCTCCTGCTCCAGTGCCCGACACGGCCCCATCTGGTCAGAGGAGGAGGAGGAGCAGCTGCGCAAGCTGTACCAGGAGGTCAAGGAGAAAGAAGGTACCAGCCACCCCCCCCACCCCACCCCACTCGGCAGAGCCTGGGGGGAGTCCAGACACGTGGGTCCGCTCCCCAGCTCTGGGTCCCATGGCTGGAGTAGGGAGCTGGCACCCTTGCATCCCTGTGGCCCCTATGCCTCAGTTCCCCACCCCCAGTGCTGCAGGGGCTTCCCTGCCCCCTGAGCAGTTTGGGGGGGGGAGTCAGATGCTCCTCTGTTCCTTCCCAGATGACGATGTCATCGGCCACATCCTGTCCCATCTGCCCGGCCCTGCCCGCACCCGCAAGCAGGTGGTGAAGCAGCTGGTGCAGTTAGGGCTCGCCCACAGCGCCCGCGACTTTCCCCCCCCCAGGTGAGCGGGGTGGGGGGGGAGCAGGGCAGTCCTGCCACAGTGCTGGCTCCTTCAGCAGCCCCCGGGCCTAGGAGTTACAGGAGCAGAGAGCCCGGCCTGGACGCCTGGGTTTTCTCCCTGCAGTGAGAGGGGAGTGGGGTCTGGGGGATTAGAGCAGGGGGAGGCTGGGACCCTGGATGCCTGGGTTCTCTCCCAGCTCCGTCGCTGTCTCTGTGGGTGCGGCCCCCTCCTCATGCCCTTGCTTAGTTGGGGCAGTGGTGGGTGACAAACACTGGATAGACAGATGGACCCCCTGGCTTGGCAGGAAGGGGACAAACATAGTGCTGTGGACAGAGGAGCAGGAGCTGGAGCTGCAGCGGCTCTTTGAGGAGTTCCAGGGCATGGATGGTGAGTGCGGGGGCTGGGGTAGGGACCCCCCACTCATGACCCCCCCACTCATGCCCCTTCTGCCCCCCCCAGACATCCTGGGCAACATCCTGCGGCACCTCACGGCCAAGCGGTCCCGGGCCCGCGTTGTGGACAAGCTGCTGAGCCTGGGGCTGGTGTCGGAGCGCAAAGAGCTCTACAAGAAACGCCGGAGGAAGCCAGGCCCGGTATACGCGCGTGTGTGTGTGTGTGTGTGTGTGTGTGTGTGTGTGTGTGTGTGTGTGTGTGTGTGTGTGTGTGTGTGTGTGTGAGAGACACATAGCACAGACCACATGTAGCACCTAGGATGACGGACAAGGGGAGTGGGGGGTGTCATAGCCTGGACCACGTGTATGGCCTGCTATGAAGACCAGGGGTATGTGTGCATACATGGCATAGCACATTTGTGTCACGGCTGCCTTGAGCAGGCGTGTGAGGTGCCCTGGTACAGGCGACACACGGTCCAAGATGTGCGTGAGGTAGCTGGCCGCATTGGTGTATGACCCAGCATGTCTGCAGGGTGGTTGACAGGAGCGCACTGCATGGGCTGCCTGGTGCAGGTGACTTACGTGTGCATGTGCTGGGACGTGCGAGTCCTTGCAAAGCTTGGTGGGGAAAGTGCCTGTGGCCATGCATGTGTGTACACACTCGTGTGCATCGCAGAACATGCGGCTCTAACAAAGACGACACCCCCCACACCCCCGCCAGGGCCTGGAACAGTCCCCCCAAGACGTAACTGCGGCTGGACACCAGGAGGATGAAGACGAGGACGAGGAGGGCGACATGGGTGAAGAGGAGGAGGAAGGCGGCGTGGAGGCAGAGGTCGGGGAGCTGGTGCCCGCGGGGGAAGCCCCGGAGCTGGCCCAGAGCCTGCGGCAGGATGGTGAGTGGGGGGACAGGATTGGGGAATGGGGGGCTGCATCACCCCCCACCCACCCCTTTCTTTGCCCCCAGGCCTGGCCAGGCCCCTGCTGTGGCTCAAGACCTGCCTGCACCAAACTGCCACCGACCGCCAGCAGGCCCGTGAGTCAGGGTCTCCGTGTTGGGGGAGGATCGGGGGTCCTGCTGTCCTGGCCCCCCCCCGGGGCTGGGGGTGCTACACTGACCTGCTCTCCCTGGCCAGGGCTGGCTCAGCCGGTGCCGCTGGTGCCGCTGTCGGAGGAGAACGAAGATGCCATGGAGGAGCCACGGTTCCAGCGCCTCCTGCGCGCCCTGGGCCTGCGGCCCCCAGCTAGTGAGCAGGTAGGTCCCTGTCTGTGTGTCGTCATTGTTCTCCTTCCCCCCCCCACCCGCTGCAGGGAGGCAGCATGGGCAGAGCCCCACTGCCCAGGCCTGGCACTGACTGCCCCATTCCCTCCTCAGGAGTCTTTCTGGCGCATCCCAGCGGCGCTGAGTCCCCCACAGCTGCGCCAGGCGGCCGCCTCCATTGCCCAGGGGGACACCAGGGGGCCGGAGCCCGCAGAGGAGGAGGAGAAGGAGGCTGTGGGGGGCATGGAGCAGCGAGCCCAAGCCATGGATGCCCTGCAGCTGGTCCAGAGCAAGCGGCTGGCACCAGGTGAGGGGCTGGAGGTGTCAGGGGGGCACCCTGGGGTCCATGCTCCCCTGCCCTGCCCTGCCCTGATCCCCCTCCGTGTTGCAGGGGCCGCGTCGTCCAGCCCGGAGCAGTCACCCGGGTCCGATTCTGAGAGGTGAGAATCGGGCGCAGGGCCCTGGATGCCTGGGTTCCCTTCTGGTCTGGCTGAGGGTGTGGGGGGAGCCGAGACGCCTGGGTCCCTTTCCTGATACCAGTGTGGGGGGCCCTGGTGCCTGCTCCCCCCTGCTCCTCCCTCTGTCACTGTCTCCTCCCTTGCCTTTGGGCCCATGTCTCAGTTTCCTTCTTGCACCTGGAGCTTTGCCTGGGGTGGGGGGGGAAGTGGCTCCTCCTTAATCTCTTCCTATCTGTGCAGGGAAGACCCTGGCCCCTCTCAGCCCCGACCCAAGCGCAGGCGCTGGCTGGACAGTGAGGAAGAGGATGACCCGGACAGCCCAGGTCAGCTGGATCTGCACCCCACCCCCCCACAGATCTGCCCCCTCCCCTGAACCCACAGGACCAGGGCCGCTGCTGCTCTGGGGCCCATCAGGTGCTGGGCTGGAGGGAGGAGGGGCAGGGGTCACACCCCCTGACGGCCCTCCCACCCCTGGGTCTCCTTGCAGCTGCAGAGCCGGCCTGGGGGAACCCCAGGGAGCAGGAGCTGGCACCCGGCAGGAGGAAGCGCCTGCACATCGAGGATGAAGACTGAGGGCTCTGCCCCCCCTTTTACTGTCGGGTTTTTATTCCAGAGATTATTTGACAAGTCTTGGTTTTTTTTCCATGTTCATAGTTAAATAAACCCATGTTGGAGCAGCCCTGGGTGTGTCTGCCCAGCACAGGTAGGGGGGGGCTGCTGGGAAGTGGTGTCGCAATGGGTGATAATAGGTCAGTGCTCCCCCCCACCCCCTGTATAACCAGGGCTGCCAGGGAACGAGCCACAGGGCCCAGCTCCGAGCACCAACCCCAGCGCACGACAGCTGAGAGGTGAGCTGGGGATGAGACCCCCCTCCCACCTACCCCTACCCCGTGCCAGTTGGGGCCGGGACCCTCTTCCGTATCCCACCTGCACCCTGCAGCAGCTGGCGGAAATGCAGCTGGGTCGGGTCCCACAGCGCTGGGTGACTTGGTGCGGCCGTGCTGGTGCACCATGTGCACGAGGGCTTCACCCAAGGGTTTAGCGGGGGACCCCAGCTGCAGCCATGAGGCCTGAGCTGTGCTGGGTGGCAGTCCTGTCCCACATGCCCCTGGTCTGCCCAGTGCTGAGGGCTATTTAAACCCTGCTTGGTTGGTGGGGTGGGGGTCTTGGCTTCTGGTGCTGTGACCCCTTCCCTCTGCAGGGTGCAAGAGCTGCCCAGGGACCCCTCTGCCATGTTGCAGTCTCTTCTGCGCCCCCTCCTGCTGCTGCTGCTATGCCACTGCCTCCAGGGCCGTGTGCTGCCCGAGTCTGCCCCAGCACAGAGTACCGCTGAGCCCCGGGACCTGGCCAGCACCCCTGTGCCAGCTCCCCCCGGATCCCCCCAGGCCACGGCCCGGTTGCTCCTCGCCTCCCTCTCGCAGCGGCTGCCCTCACGGGGAGGGCTTCCAGCCATGGGAGTTTCCTGCAGTGACCTGCTGCCCCAGGCCCTGCAGGGCTTCACAGTGATGCCCCCGCTGCCCCGGGCCCTGGCTAGCGCCGCCCTGGCTCTGGCCCTGCATGGCGCCGGCTGTGCCCCTGAAGCCGAGGCCTTGGTGCTGGAGCTGTATGCAATGCTGGAGGTGCCCGATGCCGATGCCCTCCTGCTGAGCATGTCCAGGCTGCCCCACGTGGGCTGGACGCCCCTGCTCTCGCCACTGGGGCAGCTGTGGGGCACGGCGCCTGGGCGCTGCTCTGGGCTAGTGCCTCTGGCTGACGTCCAGCTCCAGGGCCCTGCGGCCCGTGTCCACCTCACCTTCCCAGGTGCTGCCGCCGCCTGCAGCCGCCTGGGCCCCGCATGCGCTGGCGTGGCACCCCACGGCACCACTGCCTATCGTGTCGTGGGGCCGCAAGGTGCCTCTTTCGTGGCCACCCCTGGGGCCCGGGCCTGGCTGCATCAGTGCCAGCGGACAGGCAGGCACCGGGTGCGGCGCGAGGTCTGCGACGGGGAAACAGAGCCGCGCGTGCATGCTGTGGTGTCGTGGCTGCCCGGGGTCAGCACCTTCTACAACATGGGCACGGGGCTGTACTACGCCTACAACAGCTGCATGCTGCGGGCCGAGGAGCGCGCCGTGGACCTGGCTTGGGACCTGGGCTTCGACACCGTCGCGCTGCTCACGGGCAACGCCAGCGGCTTCGTGGCCAGTGCGGTGCTCCACTCGGGGCTCAAGGCCGGCGTCCGCGCCCTGGTCAGCCACTTCACCCAGGATGTGGCGCTGATCCCGACCTCGACCCTGACCCCCAGCCCCAGCCTGAGCCCCGTGACCGATTTCTACTACGATGCCTTCTACTCCAGCAAATAAACGTGGCCTGGTCGGCGCCTGGCGTGGGCTGTGTGTTTGGGCAGGGGGCACGGAGCTGCTGTTGCCCCCACTCTGGGCCTGCCAGGGTCACCGCGACCTGGGTCACCCAGGGCCGGGACGCCACGGGCACAAAGGGCAGTCGGGCTCTGACGTGGCACTTGGGGCAGCTGTCCTGTCCTCCCCCCGTGTGCCCCGCTCCCCTGCGCCGCTGCGTTTTCTTGCCCACCATGGGGGGGGGCAGCACGGCTTTGTGTGCCCAGACTCCTGGGTCCTCTTGCAGGGTGGCACCATAGGAGGGGGTCAAAGATGGGGCCCGGTCTCCTGGGTTCTCGTCTGCTCCAGGGTGGCCCCACGGGGTGACGGGGCTTTGGGCGCCAGTGGATGAGCAGAAAAATTAAAAAAA